TGTGAGAGTCAGACAGACAGTGATGCTAGTTAAGTGTGTCGCTTCTCTGCAGGTCCCCACAGAGCTCTTGTGACTCTGTGGCTTTGTAATGATGGAGACACATATGTGCACGCAGTGTGCAGTCCACACCTCTGCACAGATATCCCGCCAGCCGGTGAGTCAGCCAGTCACTCATCCTGACAGCTCCACTCTCGTCGCTACCAATTAGCTAAATATGTGTCTTTTTCTACACGAGATGCGCTTGGAGAAAAATCTATTTGAATGTTGTCTGCCTAAACAACACTGGCATCACATGTGCTCATGCTAAAACACTTGGTCACAGATCATTTAAAAAGTTTTTCAAAACAGACACAAGTGTGGCAGTTAATTATTGCATTTATGGGACAGGGTATCAAGAATTCAGAGAAACATACAATCATTACTACAGCTGTCACACTTTCCCTAAAAACCTCCCTGACCCAGAATCCACAACTGAGAAATGCCCAAGGCAGAAAAATGAGAGAGAGAGAGACGGAGAGATAGGAAGAGAGAGAGAGAGAGAGAGAGAGAGAGAGAGAGAGAGAGAGAGAGAGAGAGAGAGAGAGGGTAACCTGGCACATCACAAAAATGTGTGGATGTCTCTGACAAGTGTGTCCTGTGGGTGTCAGGGCTGGTTCAAATATTTGCGAATAACTCTGTCTCACAAATTATGAAAGTTTGTCAACACAGAAGGTAAACATGGCAGTGAATCCACCAACGTCCAACAGTTCGAGTAATACTCATGCAACAGAGAAAACCATCTCAGCAGAGAATGATGAACCATCCACCTTTTTATGATTCATTTTCTCTTCATAAACAAACTTTGAATGCAGGTCTCCAACCAGGTTCAACTTTCCTCCAGCTGTGTCAGATATGACAGATATATGATGGATATGGCACATATGACAGGGTGAGACAGGTGAGGCTGACAGCTGGCTTTAAGTTAGCGTTAGGTTAGTTTTGACTGACGGAACTAAATTCAGACTCCTGACAATCCCAAACCTGCAACCATGGTGGCAAAAACAATCTATAGCAGTGTGGGAGAAGAGGTGAACTCAGGTGGTTTTATATATTTCACTCCATCAGGTCAAATCAGTAAAAATACTGTATGTACTATATGTGACACACTGTCCTGGATTTGATGTAGTGGTCTGGTCTGTGTGTGCTCACACATACTGTGTGTGTGTATGACCCACTGTGCTGATTTTGAACATTTTTTTGCACCATTAAAAACTGCTCTGAGCAATGTATGAATCAAAATGTGTTTCTCTATTAAAAGCACACATCATATGGTAATTAATGCTGTGCTGTTGCTGTGAGTGAGTGTTATGATTGATAGTCTGACTGGGTTTGATGGGGCTGGTGATCTCTTCTAATAACTTCATGGTAAGTGTGCCATGCATTTTCTCCATTTAGTTTAATAACAACTAACTTTAATTAATGCACTCTGGATAAAAAAATCCTACCTTCATGAAATTCCTTTTTTTTAAACTGTTGTAGAGACTCACCTTCATAGGGTTATTTGAAGACTGGCTATGTAACTTTCAAAGAAGGAACGAAATTATTCTTCTTGCAAATGAAAGTGGAATTCATAAGCAAGAAAATCACAAAGTCAATACACTTGTGGATTTGGCTGCTGCAGCCTGACTCCATCTGGTATAATGAGTAGTTCATTTTGGCTAATGAGAGCTAATGTGAGCAAACTTCAGGTAGATATTATTGTTTAATTGAGCTGACTGACTATATAACTCCTCACTACTTGTGAGGCTAGCTGTTAGCATATACCAGAGATGGAACCAAGTTTCATTGTTTTGCAAGTCACATGTAAGAGTCAAGTCTTTGCACTCAAGTCCCAAGTCAAGACAGCCAAGTCCCAAGTCAAGTCCACAGTCAAAATGGGCAAATCCTGAGTCAAGTCCCAAGTCAAGACAGGCAAGTCCCGAATCAAATCCAAAGTCAAGACAGGCAAGTCCCGAATCAAATCCAAAGTCAAGACAGGCAAGTCCCTAGTCAAGTCCAAAGTCAAGACTTACAAGTCCCAAGATAAGTGCAAAGTTAAGACAGGCAAGTCCTGAGTCAAGTTCCAAGTTGAGACTGACATGTCCCCACTCAAATGCCATGTTAGACGGGCAAGTCCCGAAAGTCCCCAAACTTTAAGTTTCGAGTCCTAAACAAGTCATAATGCGCTCTTCACCAAATGTAATGCCATTTTAACATTCTTAAATATCATAAATGCTTTTTAAAATTTGTACTTATGGGTTGAAACAAGTGTGTCTCTGGCTGTGATTTCTGACCTGCATGTTTTGCATACTACAATTGTTGTTGTTTTTAAATCAACTGTGCAGTTTTTGTACGCAACATAATAGCTTTGGTTTAATTATTCCAAATGGCGCTCAGCAAAGTGAAGTTAGTTCTTCATGGTTCTCTTCTGCAACTTTATTGGATGCTATTGGATTGCTTTAAACAAAGTAGGTCTGGAGAATTAAGTGTTGTCTTGCTGGGAATGAATAGTGTTAATGTTAGTTAATTCAGGAAATGAAGAGAAATGAACTGTCTCACAGCACACATTTAAAAAAAAAAAGTTTTAAAGGTGGAAGATATCAAGTATTTCCAAGTCAAAAGGCTCAAATCTAAGCAAAGTCAAGAGTCACCACTGGTGTTGAAGTTGAAGTCATGGTGCAAGTCAGTGTCAAGTTGGTTATTATTAGTAGTTATTAAATTTGTGACTTGAGTCTAACTCTAGTCCAAGTCATATGACTTGAGTTCATATAACTTGAGTCCACACCTCTGGCATGTACTAGGGGTGGGCGATATGGGCCTAAAATGATATCACGATATTTTAGGGTATTTTTGCAATAACAATATTCTTAAAGATATGACAAATTAGTAACAAAACAATATTTGAAAATTCAAATATCATATTATTATTATTATTAATACTATCTCTCATTTTTTTAGTATGTAAACAACAATAGTAACTCAGAGTGAGATTTAGATTCTGTATATAATACTAATAGTGCAACAAAATAAAATCTACCACAAAATTACACATTTGAACAGCTCCCATATATAAAAATGTACCCTGGGATCTATATTAGGGATGCACCGAAATGAAAATTTGTGGCCAAAGCCGAATAATATTAAACGCCTGGCCGAATACCGAATACCGAATACCAAATATCGTTGTTTAGTTTTTCATTAGTTTTTGCAGATGAACCCCCTCCAGATTAGTGTTGTCACAGTACCAAAATTGGATCCCACTGTATGATACTAATGAAAATATCATGGTTCTGAGTAGTATCACGATACCACAGCGAAAATGAGGCAGATGTGCCTTTTGTCATTTATAAAAAGATAAATCACTTTGCTATAATACATCAATGATATTTCAATGGAATAAATTACTTATTGACTTATTCATACTTCAAAAACAGCATCAATGAGTGATTAACATGAGGGGGATCAAAATAAAATAAATAAATAAAATAAGAATCAACCAGCCACCCTCCTCCCCTTCATAAGTAAAGAACAGTCCCTAAAGTGCGGTGAGGTTTGTGGGCCGTGAACGGCTCGTTTCTCCTCTGACACGTCACATACCTGTGTTCGGCTGGCTCGGCTGGCTCGGCTGTTCAGGTACTTCTGGGCAGTCCACATGCCAAGAAGAGGATATTATTGGAGCCGACTTCTCCGTCGCCGGTAAGCCGATGGCTGCCGTATTTGACAGGAATAGGCTACATTACTGTCTGTGTGTGTGACCCCCGTTCAACCCACAATCGGTGGGATTCGCCTTTCGTTTCTGCTGCTGGTTGAAATCTGTAGGCTGCTCGCACAGCGTGCTGAATGATTTAAGCCTATTTTGCTCGCTCAAAACTATTTTTAGTAGCAAATGCGAGTGCCATGACGGGCGGATCGCCACACTGCCGACATTTTACTCCGCCGGTCACGGCACGCTGTTTGATTGCGTTATCAAAACACGCTGCTATTATTCGGCCTTGCTTTTAACTTATTCCACCGAATACTGACTGTGTGTTTTTTTTGCAATATTCGGCCGAATATATTCGGTTACCGAATATTCGGTGCATCCCTAATCTATATATATAAATCAACAGGTGATTTCCTTCTTTTTTTTTTATAGCAAAATCCTAAATGACTGAGTTGTTTTTTTTCCACCTGGACTTTTATGCTCTGCCATTTCTCCTCTAATCATCACATGGTGACCTGTGACAGGCTGTTTTGCTACCATAACTATTGTATATTCACATATATGTTGTTTTTTGTCGAGCCGCGAGCATCACGTAGATTTACAAGACCAAAGGTTTAATCACTTGATGACACAGTGAGACGAGAGGGAGAGACGCTGTGCTGCTCCTGGCGGAGTGGCTGAATGAGTTCCTTCTGTAGGGCGGGAAACAAGCCATGCTTGTTGTTGCCGTGGGTAACAGTATGACATCAATAGGTCAACAAGCTGAAATATCGTGAGTATCATGATATGAATTTTTCATATGATATTAAAAAATATACTGGTATTATTGTGAACAAGATGATATGACACACCCCTAGCATGTACTATTATGTGATAAGTGGCTCTTGTGGCTGCACTGGCTTCTGTTCATGAACACGTTACATAGGCCAACTTTAAAGTAACAGAAGTTAAAAACAGGATGTTTAAAAATTTAAGTCTTGTGCTTTGTTTAACCCAATAAAGTACCTTCAGGCTTTTTTGTTTGTTTGTTTGTTTTGCATACATGGTCCAAAAAGCTACTGCAGTTAAAAGCTGTGAGACTAAAAACTAGATGGAGAAAATGCAATTAACTGGTACAACCTGGCTGCTCTATAGGCAGGGAGGTGTGGAAGCATAACTGGGAGGGGTGGACAGTCGGCGAGTTGCCACAGCAAGTGCTGTGGGAGTATGGATAGGTGGATGGGGGCAGATAGTAAAATAGAGTGTTGGTCTTTACTGTGAGCGCTGGTGGTGGGCTGACCTCTGGTAGTGGGCAGCATGTCGGAAAGGCCCTGCCACGCCGTCACCATCTCCGGGTTCTTCTGGTCGGCAAAGTTCTTCCAGATTCGTAACGCTCCATCATCTGTAGAGAGGGAAGGGATGGGGAAAAATATACAGAGAGGGGGAGTAAAAAGTGAGAGCCAGGAGAAAATATGGATAAAGGGAAACAGTGAAGAGCACAGGCTGAGGCCAGAGGCAGCCGCAGCACACATACCCAACACTCATTTGTATTCTTAATGGATTTTTGGAAGTGCGTGTTGAACTGTGCAGATTTGACGAAAACCTTGAAGACTCTTTCAAAACATGCAACACGCAGCACGACTTGAAAATAAACACACACACACACACCTCTCAAAAGAATCAATAGAGAATGCAGAGCAGCATCTTAAAAGGCTCTTTGCCTGAGAGCGTCTTGACAGTGTGAAACAAAGTGAGGCAGGAGTCTATAACCCTAAAAACCTGTCTGAACAGCGCAGCTCAAACACAGAGCTTAACATAAAACATGTCCATGCACTCTTATGAGAGCGCCATTACAACCCATAAAAGTCTCTGCTTGATTTACATTCCGCATTTTACTTATTTAACCCTGTATGTATTTTTTCATAAGATATGTCCCTCCTCATATCTGTCACAGCATGACGGATGGAGAAAAGCTCAATAAGTGCACTTTACATTTTGATGAGATGGAATCTAAATGTATTAATCCCTGAGCTTTAGCAAGTTTTCAGGAGGTGTGCAATGAAATAGACCATTCATTTTTAGTTTAATGTTGCACTGTTGAGACTAAACAAAATGAATGTGTATTTCTGTGTGCCTTTTAATGCAGAGTTGTTTTCTACAGTTCCTCTGGGTTATGAAGATAAAGCCATGGAGGGTAATTGCTTTGTTCTGTTGATGAATGATGATGAATACACATGAGCGCTTTGTGCATGTGTGTTTGTGGGGGTAAGAGTCAAGTGTTTAAGGCTTGTTGCCGCTACAAATGAGTCTCATTGCGATTTCTACTGTGCCGGTGGGCGTGATCATTTGAGCTGCTCTCTCAAGGAAAATGTTACTAATTTCTTGAGTTTTTACTCTGTGCACTACTGTGGGGCTTCTGTGTGAGTGGATTTGTCCATCAAACCTGTTGCAGTGAGCAGTAATGAGCAGTCATGTCCGTTCAGGTACTCCATGGCTGTGATGCGAGTGTACCGAGGGTTTCCGTTGTAGAAGTAGTCCAGCCTCTCACCCTTCTCCCAGTCCCAGAAGCTACAGCAAACACACACACATTTACTCTCATTAATGACTGGATCTGTTTTACATTTGAAAAACATGAAGTATGTAACTGAGCTCATTTGCATAACGGTCTTAAAGCTGATTTGGTTTTTCATTTCGTCTCTGACCAGATGCTGTCCTTGTCGGCCACAGCGATGCATGTGTTGAAGGGGTGGAATTTCACAACAGATGGTACTCCAGGGTTGCGGTTGATGAATATTTGATCATCGAGACGGGAAACACCTGTAATGGGGGGCACAAGCAGGAATGGGAACAAGTGCAAAAAGGATGAGAATTTCTTGAAACTGGAAAATCACAGCTGTAAATTTTCCAACATCTTCAGTAAGAGGCACTGGCAAAAACTGAACAAATTCACCTTTTCTTGGTCGGCATGTACCAGGCCTATGATTGTACGTACTGCTTCCAGGAAACAGCCACAACCTCACATTCTGAATCCAACACTAAAAGTAGCCCTCACCACCTCCCGCTTATTCTGCTTTTCTATATTACCAAGCTACCTGACCTTAGCCCATCTGTCCTTACCGAAGATGTAAATCTTTAAATAAATAATTTCTTTATTTAATTTCTTTAACTTACATGAATACAAAACAAAAGGGAATAAAAAAAAATACAAAGTGCATGTGAGGCTATGGTAGAAACCTGTACAGGCTTATATGAAAAACATACCCAGAAGACATGGAAATGCTGAAATACAAACAGTCAAAATTGTCAAAATTTTTTAAATAATTTGGAAAAGGTATAATTTATAAGGAAAACCAGAAGAAAAACTGGCCTGGGATAACATTTCCACCAAACTTTAGATGAGTGGTAAAATGTCCAAATATGTAGAAGGCTTTGGTAGTTTCAGTGATTTCTGTTGTCTTGCCACAGTATGCAGCCACAAGCTAGCTTTCACTTCAGCTAGTGTTCACCAAAGTGTGATTGCAGCCGTGGATCATAGCGGCAGTAGCCAAAACGCTTTGCTTTTGGGGGGGGGGGGAACGCTCTTGCAGGTAGGTGGTTGTCAGGGTGAACGCAGCTGAAGTCAGAATTAATTACAGTGCCCATACAGTGCAAAGAATTCTTAGGACTAATAGTTCTCAATCTCTTTTACAACAAGGATGCTCAAACAGGTTAAGGTGGAGCTCTTAATGGTAATGAAGGAGCGTGTCATGTCATGCAGTGGTGAGGCTCACTGATGTGACTGATGAGTGTTTGAGGAGAACAATGGAGCTCTATGGCACAGAGGAATAACATTCATTAATAATACAGTAACAGAATAACACAATATGAGCTGAGTTTGGTCTTTTTGTGGGATTTGACAACAATATAAATGCTCTGCTGAAATACACGCTGTGTATAAAGTCATTTCCTATTTACTATATAGTGCATAACATTAAGTGTCTGCCACTTAAAGGGACATTGGTGTACTATTACCTCCACCAATAATCTGACTTATTCTCGTAAAAGGAGAATTTCGGATTTGTTTGTACATTGTGCGGGTAAGTCGTCTGGGGGGTTCCATTACGTTTCGCCATCTTGAAAATACATCCACCAGCAAGGGACATACAGCCCCACCTTCGGCGTTTTCATTGAAAGCCAGGCCAGGGCTGTGTGACTGAGAAGCTGAAGGAGAGGAGCAAGAGGCGCTTCGCTACTACCCTGGCACTACTGCAGCATAACAAAGTCCCACTCTTTGAGCATAATGCAGGATCATGCATACACAGCATCATGGGAGACGGAATCCTCGTCGCCAAGAAAGCGCGTGGGAATCAAAAAGGCAACGTGACGGGCGAATTCAAAAAACGAGGCTCAACATCAGGGTTGCCTTTCCCAGGTGGAAAGAGCTGCTGAAGGAGAAAGGTAATGCAATCACAGGCCAGCGCCGAGTGGCTCAACCTCACACACCTCATCCCTCTCCTCGCATCACTGCGCCGCTGTTAGCTGTTAGTGGCGTTGCTAATGGAGGACATGGTTTCATCAATGTTATCATAGCTTTTTGGTACACAGTGGCTACCGTTGTTGCAATACGCGTTTGAGGCGCTAGAGTGCGCTATCCGTTTGAATGCAATATATGATTTCAACGTTAAGATGGGAGAAATTCCTACACACTGGGTGTCTGTTAGATGGGGAGTAGTGAATGAGTGAACAAGGGAGTGACAGACTCCAGTAACAGTTTGTATCTGTATGTGAAAGCATGTGTGCTTACTTCAGACAGATACTTAAAAAGAAAAAATTACACTCTTGTAATTTAAGCATGCCCTGCGTGTTTGTTGTTAGAAAATGTATTCTCTAATTAAAATGAAACTTTGATAATACCAGTGGGGAAACAGAGTATCTGTAGCTGCAAATAGGACAGAACAGAACAGAGGGAAAACAGGACAGGAATAAATAGCAACTAGGCCTTTATAACAGAATCTTAAAACCAGAACATACTGGAATGAATGACTGAGTATGGGAAAAAGAAAGTATTACAGTGTTGCTGGGGTACAAAGGAACAATAGCTGGCCTTGAGGCAAGGCAAGAAAAACAAGCAAAACATATGGCAGTCTACGGTAGGAGATTCAGGGTGGAGAATAAAGTGTGGAAGCATGCCCCTTTGGCAGATTTCAGCGGAGTATAATACAGTGCCAATGCACAAATACAACTGCTAAGTTCACTGCCTCACCATATGTTGTCATGGCAACAACACGTCTGTTCACAAACCTGTCCTTGGCTACCTGAGCTGAGCGCACACTCGAGACCGCCATAATGAGATGAAAAAAATTGAGGAAAAATCCATCACGCATTCATCACAGATGCTGCTGTGCTGGAAAACATGTAGTTGGAGGGAAAAGTAGATATGAGATGCTGAGGCCTTGGTTAAAAGATGAGCAAGATCATCATCATCGATTTGCTTTTGTTTGTGCTGTTTGACGGCACATTCGATATAGAGCTACTGTTAAATCTGAAACCACCTCTGGGACTTAAGAACTGCACGGTGATGGGTGAACATTTTGCATCACGAGAGAAGAAAAACAAGTCAAGTCAGGTTTACAAGCCAAAATATTTCTTTAGCACATGTTGTCTTTTCTTATTTCGAGCTTTCCTGCCTCCGTCTCGCCCTCCTCCGTCCTCAGTCTTCCTCTCACTCCATCCCACCCTCCCTCCTCTCCTCTCCTCTCATCTCATTTTTCTCTGGAGGGAACATACTGAATGAGGGCAACCCTACTACTTCTCTCTCTTTCAAAAAACTGAGACTATAGAGGGGAATTCAATGATTTAGCAAGCAGTCAGAAAGAGAGGGAGAGACATGTGGAGAAGCAAGCCTCAGCTCTGACGCCAATCTACTCTTGACTGTGTATGTATGTGTGTGTGTGTGTGTGTGTGTGTGTTTGGATGTGTGGCTGGGGCTGCCTATGACGTTGGGGTGTTAGCTATTCTGTTTGAGAAAGCTCTGACTTCACTTGGGGAGTCTGTGGGTATGCTGGCACCCTGGGCTCTATAATGTATGGGTTTGTGTGTGTGTGTGTGTGTGTGTGTGTGAGGGGAGTCCTGTGACTCAAGGTTTTTTTTCTGACTATGGATTGGTTTCAATCAATCTTCTTTCATCACTGCAGATCATCTGCTCACTCACAAGTCTGAAACAAAGCTGAGCCATCCACAGCCAGTGTGTCTCTCAGTCTGTACTTTTGTTTGGACAGTCTGGATTTCAGCCAGATTCTGCCCTCATCAAGGCTCCAAAAATATTCAAATAAACAAGATTCTGGCAAAATCTCTGTGATGCTCCCTCTGTGATCTTAGTACTGTATTTGGCACTGCTGGTTTTAGGGCTGCTAATCAAGAAGGGCCGTTCTGAAATGGTAAGAATTCGATCATCTAAGACTGGGACCCTTTTTAGTCCATCAGTTATTTTGTATTCAAGTAGACAACCTAACATATGGAGTCCCTCAAGATTCAATTCTCAGACCTCAAACTGTTGGCAAAAAATTAACAAAATTATTATTTTTTTTCAATTTCATTACATAACACACTGAACAAATAAACGTGTTTGTGCCAATATTCCCTGAAGAAGTGAAATAATAACAAATCAGAAGTAAATGTCAGGGGCTGTACCGAGTGTCTTGTTTATTACATTCAATGCTTTTATTGAGGTTTCTGAATGCAGCTTTGAATGTCTGTCATCAGATTTTATGACATCATCCCCACCCAGCCCCCCCACAAACAATTCCTCAATTTGCATAGGGTGATTCATCAGGTTAAATGACTCAGTCTTTTTACTATAATAGTGTTAAAGCTGAAATGCATTTTTGTTAACGTGATTTTATAGGTGTAATTTATGGTGATGTAGATTGCTGGTAGACAGCCCTTTCAGTACAGATTGGTGACTCCCTTTGTGTGTAGCAAGCAAAGTGTTTTGAGTGCTGTGAAAATGTTATTGTTATAGACTACACTAGGGATGCTTGATATATATCGGGCCGATTAATTATCGGCCAATAATGGGACGTTTTTATTCTTATCAATTATTCTGATAATTGAAATTATAGCCGATAAATAGGGCCAATAATATGAAGCCAGACTGCTTTCATTGACTTAACAAGGGTAGCATTTACACGCCCGACACAGTGGGTGGCGGTACATGTACCTTTAAACTTGGTTTACTAGCTGCCAATAAACAAAGAGACAAAGAACAAAAACTGCAGCACGCTGTCTAGAGGGCAAAAAATGTCATGGTGTGGACATCTTTCATGGTTCCAGAGAAGGACAACAGGATTGCGCCGAGGGTCTGATCTACAATCACCCGACACCCCACCAGATCAACAAACTTCCTGCAGTTGTCAAACAGGTTAGATATAGTGCTAAAGGACTGTCTTTAGAGTGTTAGCACGAGCTAATTAGCAGCAGCGGCTTACATCCAACAGCAAGTATTTAAAAGGCTTGAAACTTATTAATAACTGCTAGCCATGTAATGCTACAATTAGTGAATATTTATATCGTTACCTAGCACCCCAGTCTGGAGCATGGCTCTCTCTCTCTCTCTCTGGCTACGTGTATGTGAGACACAGCCTCACGCTTGTTTGTCTGAGTTGAGTGTTAATGTGTGAGGTGAATCAGCAGCACATCGCTGTTCTACTTGGTAGTTGTAGGCTAGTCTATCGTGGTACGGTGAGATGGCGTCTGGGTGTGTTTATAAAAAGTGTGATGATATGAACATTTCATATATCAGATGTAACGTAGACCTGTTGATGCACATTCAACCTGTTCATATGAGTTAGCTGTCACTGGTTGTCTCTGTTAGTAGAGACTCCAGTCTACAGTGTAGTCTATATACGTTATCGATAGACCATTTTACTTTCACATCCTTGTAATTATTATGTTCATCTGTAGTGTAGGGTTATGTGGGGGCAGGGGCGTTGAGGGTACTTCATTTGACAGTCCCCCAGATAATCTCCCTCTTTTTTCACAGCATTATGTTGGCAGGTATGGAAGAGTCACAACTGTTCTTTGTTTTTGTTGCATTAGCAACAGTGATGTCAGTTAGGGTTGGTTAGGTCAGGGCTGTGGAATATTAAATCAGCCATATTTTGAAATAACATCAGTTGAGCCCTTATGTGCATATGCATGAATATCTGTGTGTGTGTGTGTGTGTGTGTGTGTGTGTGTGTGTGTGACTAACCCCTTTGTGTGATGCTTCGGCTCTGCCTTCTCACTCGAGTGTTTCTCAAGAACCTCCACTGGCGCTCCATCCTCACCTGACTCTCCAGGTCGTGCTCCTCTGGGATCTGAAAGAGAGGTTCACCTGATCATTCCATTTGGAACATTTCTAGGAAAGATCATATGGTTTAAATATGTGGCATCCCCAGTGAAAATTCAGACATACACAGAAATTCAGTGAAAGTATAAGATTACTACTTCAGACATCAGTAGTTTCTAGAGAGGTCAAGTTATCTTTCATCAAAAAATTGGCTCCAAATCTGCTGTTAATTTAGAAGGTAAATGGAACACAAATACGTCTGTGTAAACATCCAGAGGCAGATTACAGGAAGCCAATGCATAAATGAGTACAAGCTACACAAGTTGTCTTAACATACTGCATGGACAAATATATAGAGGTTATTCAGCTGCTGCCCTAGCACATATGGCGGATGCCCTGACCCTCTTGATGGTGCAGAGCAGGAGCTAAGCTAAATGCTAGGAGGTGGAGTTACAAGTCTTTCCTGCTGTCGGTCCTAATGGGAATGTAAACTTGCTATCCAACAATTGTGACAAGCTGCTGGCGCTGGTGAGCAGCCGACGACTCTACAGGGAGTTCAGTCTCATGTGCTTCACGGAGATGTGGCTGAATGACAATGTGCCTGACTCTTGTGTGAACCTACCCGGCTTCTCTACTGTGTGAGTGGACAGGCACGCAAAGGCAAGCAGCAAAAACAGATCCTGCTTGTGAACACTAAATGGTGTCAACCTGCACATATCATGGTGAAGGACAAGATCAGGTGGAAGTTGCGGTTCTTTACATGCTGCATTGGGCCTGTACATACTTGGAGGAGCTGGGATATTGTGTGAGGATCCTTTTGCCTGACTTTTCAAGTACATTTAATGCTATCCAGTCCTCTATACTAAGAGACTGGTTGGAGGGGATGGGAGTAGGTCGCTTCCTGAAGTCCTGGATAACAGACTACCTGGCAGAGCGGCTCTGTATGTCAGGCTTGTAAGCCGTGTTTCTGGGATGGTCAGGAGCAGCACTGGTGCTCCACAGGGAACTGTTTTAGCACCGCTCCTGTTCACACTCTACACAGCGGACTTTAAGTACAACTCAGAGTCCTCCTGGAGTGAGAGAGGAGCAGCTGCAGCAGTCGGCTCATCTCACTGCGTTGCAGAATAGAGTGTTTCAGAAGATCCTTCGTCTCCACAGCAATAAGACTGTTTAACACCTCCTGAATCCAGTCACACACACACACTTACACACATCACATTAGCCACAACTGGCTGGACTGGACAGCACTTTCTGCTTTCAACTTGAAAACTGCTCTACAAAAGTTCCAGAGTTCCCCCTTATACGACTCTCAGCCTTCTCTCTCAAAGATCACACATTGACATATATTTGAGCTATGTTAACTTTTAAAGCAACAGAAAATACATTTGCTGTTCTTTTATTCTACATGGAAGGTTATCAACAAATATTACTGCAACGATTTCATTACACAATAAAATTACGTGACTTACTTTTGAAACTATACTTCTCCTAATTCCATGAGTTTTTCCAGGCCTGGAAAATGTGACTGTGAAACTCTTTTCCAGGTTTTCCATGACCGTGGGAACCTTGAAAATTCGTGTTTAATAGATCTGTATGCAAAATATAAGCACAGATTTGTGCGTATGCAGTGTTTGTGAATGAAGCCCACTGATAATACAAACATTATCAAGCCGTCACATCGCAGGCCTGATTACTGATTGCCAACTACAATGTTAAGTGAAGCTCATTTTGTCGAGTTCACTTTATGCAATCACATCTGATCTCATCTGTTAAGCAGAAGGACAGTATGAAAAGTATGAACGTTATTAAGTCTTATGTAACAAAATGGCCCCCACAGATTTCGCCCTGGCTTTATTTTAATGACTCCTTTTTTAGCATAAGATTCAATATGCAGAATGTAATATAAACTGATTTATGCCATTTTTCAGTTTGGAGTATTAAAATTATAAATTAAAATCTCTGACTTTGCTATTATTATGCATTTTTAATAGACTAATAAATAATCAACAGAGTGTAAACAATAGAGAAAAACCTGTTGTAGTGTGTGTGTGTGTGTGTGTGTGTGTGTGTGTGTGTGTTTGTGTTTAAATGCTGCTTGCCAGTGTGTGCTTATTAAGCACATTTCTACAGCGAGACCTCCCACACCCACTGATTGCTAAACAGCCTGACAAACACACACATGCAGCTACAGTGCCATGTGACTACACTACTACTACTGTATGTGTAATCAATATTCTTGTAATGTCCTCACTCTTCATATCTTGCCTGAAGGGAAAGACAACACACACTTTAATACCTTTGAGTGGAGACTGTGAATAAATATATTTGTGTATGAAATTTATGTAGAGTGTGTTTCTGTGAGTGTGCAGTCAAGTCAGGTTTATCTGTATATCACATACAGTGTCTCTATTTATGGCTCCTGACTGAACCTGAGAGGAGGCAGATTTAGCTGATAGGCTGTAGCTGATGTTTTCCCAAAGCTGAGACAGAGAGAGAGAGAGAGAGAGAGAGAGAGAGAGAGAGAGAGAGAGAGAGAGAAGTGTGTGTGTGTGTGTGTGTGTGTGTGTGTGTGTGTGTGCAGGCCAAGGTAAGAGCCAGCTGATACTGTGGTTCCCAGGGTTGTGGTCCTGCACTGTGTCAGCTGCTAATGTAATGTATAATGAGACCCTGAGGTAAAAAAAAAAATAAAGAAAAAAAAGTATGTGTGTAAAAAGAGAGAGACTTTTGCATATATTCTTCACAGCGCTTTGGACATTCCGCATATACATCTCTGGTACACTATATGGCCAGAAGTATGTGGACGCTCAAACATTACATCAGCATGTGATTGTTGAACATATCCATCCTAAACCATGGTAATCACAAATGCACAGACAAATAATTCCAAATATGATACTTCTATACTTCCAGCCACCTGACAGCCTATCTCACATCTGGTCAAACAGGAACATGTAGTAACATATTTGAGAGGTGTTTTGAGCCTCAAAATCTATTAATATGATTTTACAGAACTGTTACTTGAACCTTTTTCTACGGTAGCCGAAGTAACGGTCAATTGTACATCAACAGATACAATGATAAAGAACATTAACTCTGATAATATTTTGGTTGTATTTTATAAAATAGGTAGCTACTTGATGAACAACATCAAATTTGTGTTCAGATATAAAACTGGTTTACAAATCTGTTTGCATGGATTTACACATTGTTTTTTTTCCTACCATGTGACCCCAGGAGGGCTTTTAAGATGCATCTTGAATTTGGGGGCATAGACTAATAACATGATTATATTATAGAATGCATTATAATAATATTTATATTAGTTTATTACAGAAATATCACTATCAGTGTTTCTGAAACTGAAGTACAGAAATGCAAAACTAGATCGAGGTAATTTAACATCATCACCATTACATGTTTGTTGAGAGCACTGACAGGTTGGTTTTTACACTGTAAATTCAGAATCTACAGGATCTGTTTTAAGATTGTTTATGTTACATGGTAATGTTTACATGTTATGTTGAATGAATATTGGCCAATGTATCTCATTGGAATATTACTATTGGTATTTGCCTCAAATATCCGGTAGTGATCAGGTGACTTGATTGTTAGCTAGTATGGGAAGCAAGCAGAGCAAGAATATAGTAGTGTGTTTGGATTTCAGCTGACAAATAAAATTTCTTTTACATTTCCAAAGAATGCAGTTTAAGCCTTATTTATTTATTTCACCCATAACGTCCTTGTGTTGATCGAACGCTGTGTTGAAACCACAGACTGTGTACAAAGATAGATGACACATCTCCACTTCCTCCCACTGTACAAGATGAAGCCAAAATTCCCCGGATACACATACTGCCATTTTGTGCTGGTGATGTCATTTTGGGGCAGAGTCTGTGCAGTAGTGATTAACTGGTGGACATGTGGTATCAAGGTCCTGCTCATACACTCACTCTACTCAACTGTGAGTCAACTGCAACTGTCAATCATGATGTTACACCCCCTTCTATAGCATCAAATAAAGAATTAAAACCAAACTGACCAGAAAAAAAAAAACAGCTGAACAAACAGCAGTGTGATAGGAACAACCTAAAATGACAGAAACCATATTGGAAAGAGTGTGAAGGGGGCGGGGTAAATTACATTTACTGCAGCCTGCCACCAGGGGGCGGTCGAGATGTTTTGGCTTCACTTTTGAGGGGCTGTCATGTTGTGCATCTTAATATTCAGTCTTTGGTAGCACCAGCGCCCCAGGAAGTGTTCTGGGCTGTGAAGCCAATTTTATGCATTGCCAAACAGTGGAATTACAACTCTCAAGTCCATCACGTGATGCTATGGGGCCCCAAAAGACTTTTTGCCACACACTGGGAAGGAGACATCTGTAAATCGATGAACACATTTTATTGAGCATCACAACCCCCACAGAATGACTTATTTTACTATCAGGATTTGACCCATTTGGTCCGATAACATTTGGAAAGTCTAGAATAGCTGCAAGATTAAATCATTTTATCCCCATTCAAGTTAGCAGAGCGCTAAACCAGAAGTAGCCAGCTCGGCCGGCGGATGTCTCCAGTGCGCCTGCTCTTTGGGCCCAATGATGCAGGAGCAGTAACAATCATCTAGGTAATTCTGTACACAGCAGTTGAATGTTTTTGGCTTCATGTGCCACTGAAGCCAAAAACATTCAACTTTTATAGAAATAAACAGGGTCCCGCCTCCAGTGCTGTATCCAAGTCTCTCAATACATCCATGGTCCACACACGAAGTAGTAAACAGTCTCTGGCTGCTCATATAGGTGTAGTTGTGTGGGTATGATGTTTTCAGCACGTAAATAACATACTCTGTCCTCCTGAACAGTGGTTTTCTAATGTAGTAGCTGCAATACTACACACAACATAGTTCATATCCTGCTTTAATACAACTTTGACACCCAAGTTGGCAAGACTGATGATAATTGTGGTCCTTAATTTGAACTGGAAGTGATTGTGACTCTTCTAGTGGAGTGGAGTAGTAAACTACTCAGGGCTTTGACACTGAAACTAATGTGATTGGCCCTCGCCTGGTTGACCCTTGTATTGTGCCAGAATACATTTGCATGGACAGGGGTGTCCACATACTTTCGGTCAACTGTGTTTGTAACAACTGCATTTGCTCTCTCTTAAAATTTCTTCTCACAAATGTATTAACCTGTAGCTGCAGACATCTTGTTTTTTTAATCACACTCCTTTGATGTCATGTGAAGAGTCTTCTGTCCTTGCTCCTAACACACCCCTAAAGCTGTAGCTGTGGATACAATCTCTCTGAAACACACACACACACACACACACACACACACACACACACACACACACACACACAGATTTTGCTCTCATGCTGCTGACACAGTGATATGATAACCTGTGTGCAGACTTTAAAGTGTACTCACATACACACAGAGCTTTGTAATGGAGTGGAGTTTTATGGCAGCACTCAAAATTTTGCCAACACAGCATTCTGATTCGTACTATGGCAAAACCCCTCTCCTCCTCTTCTGCCTGCTCTTTCACTCACTCTTCCGCTCCAATTGTCTCTCCACTTTTCATCACCTTTTGTTAGCATTTCTGGCTCCATCTTCCTGTCATCCTGTCGCCCTCCTTATAGAGTTTTACTTCACTTTTAACGCTTCTGTTTTTCCTCTGTCTGCCCCTTCAATGTATTTTCTACTTCTCAAATATTTTATTTTCATCATTATTACTTTTTCTTTTTGGCTCTTCTATCTCATTCTCTCCTCTTCTTGCCCCAAATGTCTTTGTGTTGTATATATTTTATTTAACTAAAATCCACTTTTCTCTTTACTATCTTTCTGTATCAGCCGCTTTGTCTCTCAAGCTCATTCTTTTCCTATTTACTTTTCCTTCTCCACTCCCAATACTTTGTATTTTCTCCTCTATTTGACCCTCAGGCTTGACTCCTTTTAAGTAATTCCCTCCTTCGTTGCTTAACCTCGACAAAATGTGCTGACTCCATTTGTTTTACCTCTTTTTTCCAGGCAGGATGGCATGTTGAGGTTATTTAAACAGACAGAAGCTTGGTTTAATATTACAAAATTCAGCACCAACTACTGTGCACGGTTAAGAGCACTTCCTTCAATCTTAAATTTCACTCGGGAGGATGTTAAGTTACAGAGCTCAGAGAGCTCAATTATTCAGTAAAGCCATCTTGTACAAGCAGCGGGTAGTTTCTCACACTGTGATTGGTCCCTGGCCTGCTGTTTTCCATAGGACTCCATTACTTTCTAAAATAACCTCTGTAAGACAGTTCATGTCCTCAGAAGGCTCTGTCACTCCTGAAGCCATTGTTAAATGCATGACAAAGGTGCACTTATGACACCACTCCACATTAATATTTATGTGAAGACTGAAATCACCTGTCATAGTACTTCTTTGTTGCCTAGCAACCACTCTGAGCTGCTGTTCAAGAACTGGATTGCTTGGCGGAAAAGTAATAATAAAATACTGTTTTAAAATTGTTGATTTAGGCAAGACAGATGTGCTTTTTTTCTTTTTAATTCAATAAAGTGTAAAAATGTCTGTGCCTGTGTGTGATGCGGCTGTGAAGCACAACCCTGTGGCTTACTGTTAATTATAACAGTTAGCTCCGACCATACAGTCTATGGTTCCAACCAAGCATTTTCATTGGACAAGAGGCATTCCATGAGTGCTGATAGACAGTATAACAGCGCTGTGACTTTTAACTATGCATGTTAAGCTCTGCTTTACAGGTGTTCTGAGCTGTTAATTATGTTAATCCTTTATTAGCCCACATCAAGGGTCATCATAACAAACTTCAAAAATTAACCACAAAAAACATCTGAATTAATAAATAATCAGAAAAGGATGAAGGGATGGAAAGAAGCCTGAATACTTCCTGATGGAGACTCACATGACACTAAAAGACAACGCAACATGCTGATTAAGCTGTTAATTCATCAGCATCACATGTATGCCACCAAAGTGACTGTCACCTGACTGATTTCACTGGTCGCAAAAAATGAATGGAAACACACAGATGTGATCCAGACATGATGCAAAGTCGCTGGCCTGTGTTAAAGTGTAGACCTACACAAAGTAGCACGTTAGTGTGCAGGAGTGTTTATGTGTTGCTTGGCAACAGTCCAGTTGCAAAACCTTTTGTGTTAGCGGAGCCAAATAAATCACTAAATAAACAAACATGTCAGAACCTGTTGCTGCTTTTTACTGTTGATAAATGGCATTTGTAGAACTACTGTATGAATGCACTATCACACTCGAAGTTGTGCAGTTGTACCAAATAAGTACGGCTGTGTTTATTGGCCATGTGCCTTCGACTGAATCACAGTCGTGCTGATATGCAGTACAACAGCACAATGTGAAGTGTGATATCGCTTAAATCAAAAAAACATAACTCAGACATGAACAAGATAGGGCATTCACAGCAGCTCCATTTTGGTACTCACTGACTACTCCCAAATATTAGTGGACTAGTTGATTAATTGCAAGAGGTATGTCTTTTTTTTAACCTTGATTAATTCTCCTCAAAAAGGAAAAAAAAAAAAACAGAGTCCTTGATTAGCTTTGACAGTCCTTTTCCACTAATTAGTTTTGGTTCTTGAATAGAATAGAATGAAATGGAAAATAGAGCAAAATAAAACAGAACAGAATGGAATAGTATAGAATAGAATCGTCAAGCAGCCTCTCTCTCTCTATCCCTCTCTCTCCTTGTGCTCTACAATAATACTGTTCTGTCACTTTCCCCCTCTCTCAGTCACAGACAGCCCCTCTTTCTCCTGCATTCCCTCTTGAGTCAGTCTATTAAATCTCCTGCCATTTTCACATGAGAATTGCCAGTTTCATTGAGAGAAAAAAAACAAAAACAAAAAAAAAACACAAAACAAAACAATAAAAACAGCGTTAAACTGGAGAGAACCCAACCCGGGGGGATATTAAAGAATTATAGCCCTGTCCAGCCCAAACCTAGCAACCCCAACCAGAATGAGAATCAGAGCTCTAGTGTTGTCTAGCAAACACGCCCATGCATCCACCAGTTTTGAATGGAACCATTGTTGTCAAGGAAGTGTCATTAACGGGCAGCTATCTCAGCTTACAACTATGACTTGTCAACAACTACAATAGCACCCCGAGATGCATGCCTGCCATAGATACATTGTAGCTGCCTCATTACTTTACCATACTAAAACTACAGATGAATGATTAGTCTACAGCAATGCACAGTGTTGACTAATAGATTTAGGTGTCGACTTTTCTGTGAAACCTCTACTAAAGGACTATCACCGCACTGACAATGGCAGGGCAGACAGAGAGGTGAAGACCACGACAGTAAAAAGGATCAATAGATGGAAAGAGAAGAGTGACAGTGGCGTTACCTTCATGACAGGCTGAGCGAAATACTTGGCGCTCCAATCACACAGGCCTGTCTGAAGGGCGGGACTGATGTAGTTCCTGTGACCGCCCGGCTCGTCGCCATCCTCAGCCGCCTGGAAACACACATACAAAAATGTCAACAATTCTAAGAGTTAAACTCAACAAAACTTGAGCCAATTTAAAATTAATAAACTTTGCAGCTGCGGCTTACTGCTTACTTTAACCACAATGCCTTAGTTATGTATTAAGACTCATACAGCAGCGTGGTCCTCTACCTGCTCAGGTCCCTTGTCAAACATCTTGCGAGTGCGGGGGAACTGGTGGGAGTGGGGCGCCTGTCCTCCCAATGTTGGGGTGTAGGGAGGTCGTGTGGCCGGCTGCTCTCTGGCAGGGGGTTTGGGCACCTCGTTAGTCAGACTGGAGCTGCTGGTGCTGGGCATGGGAGGAGAGCCGCTGGAAGAACAGAGACATTAACATGAGGACAGGAAACAAAGTGGCAGAACTTATCAGCTTTGCCATTCTTTCCCTTTGTATCTGCAGAATCAAGTAAGAAATCCAAGTCCGTTATATATCCGCTATATATCTTAAATAGATATATATCATGTATTATGTATTATTATATCCAGAATTTAGTGTGATAATTTTTAATATGCCTCTGCACTGGTGATAGCCATGACCAAAGACGTTATGTTTTAGGGTTGTCCATCTGTTTGTCTGATGAATGCAATATCTCAAGAACACCTTGAGAATTTCTTCAAATGTGGCAAAAACGTTCACGTTCACTCAAGGTCACCATGACCTTGTCTGTCTCATTCTTGCGAATGTGTTAGATCAAGAATGCTTTAAATTTCTTCAGATTTGGCACAACTATCCACTTAGACTCAACAATAAACTGATCAGATGTTGGTGGTCAAAGGTCAAGGTCACTGTGACCTTGCATCTGTCTCATTTTTGTGAACACAATATCTCAAGAACACCTTTAGGAATATTCCTCAAATTCGGCACAAATGTCCACTTAGACTCAAGAATGAACTGATTAATAGTTGGTGGTCAAAGGTCAAAAGTCAAGGTCACTGCGTCCTCATAAAACATGTTTTTGGCCATTACTCAAGAATTCATACACTAATTATGACAGGAAGACTGACTGAGCTGTATGCATGATTTGTTTAGGGGCTTTATGTGTTTTACAGTCCAACTGCAAGAATAAAATGTTGCCATTGCAAATTACTGCAAACTATGGATATGTCACATTTTTACATTTCATAACTATAACACAGTTCAGATGACATGTACATTAATTGAGTTTCTCAACAGCGGGAGGAGGGGACGGTGGATGGCATGACCTAGGCAAGACAACTGCCAAGCAGCAGATCATTGTTCGAGACCAGCAACAGCGGGTGTTTTTTAACGACAGGTCGGTACATATTCAACTGTGTTTGTAGCAACCAAACCGGGTATTTTAAGCCAAAACAATATCTTTACCTAGCCCTCACCAAGTGGTTGTTGTGCCTGTGCCTAACCACACATTAATCACAGCATTGACACAACATAAAATTACAAATTACATAAAAGTTAAGATTTTCATGTGTGTGACAGATCCGTCCTTACCCAGCCTGGTGGATGTGCGTGCCCTTGCTAGTGGGGCTGGCTGGCGCCGACTGGGTGAGTGATCCAGAGTCCAGAATCCTCTGGGGCCGAGCGTTCATAGTTGCCTGTCGACAAAGAAACTGTTAATTCTCTGCTGTTTAATCCAGTCATCAGACTGGAAATGTGAAATGAGAGGCTGAAAAGGGAGGAAGGAACAGGAATATTACACAGACACACCTGAGGACAGATCAGGATTAGAAGCAATACCTATAATCAGGATATTCTTCTCGCTGTAACAGTGCATGAAAAAAGCAGCACTTTACAAAGTTTGCCTAAATTTCCAGAACTTTATCTCATTAGACAGAGCAGGTAATATAACCTCTTCATTGTGAGTTGTCTAATGGCTGTTCACAAGGGAGGGGTAAACTTAATAAAGACAATAGAGGCAAAGCATCATTGATGAATAGCAGAGTTGTTGTTTACTCAAGCCAGGTGGAGAGAAAACTGTGCGGTGTAAATCTAGTTAACAGAGGCAAACACATTTTACTACCTTTGACTTGATTTCTATGCTAATTACAAAATTGCGGCAAGTATCTTTTGTTTATGTGTGTGTCTGATAGGCTGCGAGGGGGAGAGAAAAGTTTTTAATGCAAACTTTACACACAGTCAATCCGCTGCATTTGTGACGGGGAAAAGACATCAGTTACTAAGGTTAGCTGTTAGCGCTTCATTAAGAGGCAATTGGAAATGAAACAAAACAGCAGTAAAAACAGCTGAAAGGGTTATTATGGAAATAGCTCAGTCACTAATCTAAGTACCCTTTTCTACTCAAGCACAACAAGATCAATATGATGAAAAGGACATAAAAAGGGAAAAGCAGATAAACAATTTTGGGATATACTGATGTTTTTGACAAAAAGATGATGGGGAGCAGCTTGTTTGTGAAGGCAACAGTGCACGTGTTATGGCAAAACTGAGCTCCACACTGCAGTATTTATCCTCCTGGAGCTCATCTGAGAGTAAGAAAGAGGTTGCGGCAAAGTGCAGCTGTACATGAGTAAAAGCTTAAACATAAGGATTTGGAAAGAAGAAGAAAAAAAAAAGGCAGCAGGGTGGATGAGTGGTAATCAAGCCTGTCCTGTATTAAAAGGTTACGGTTTTATTCCCTGTACACTGTGAATCCATTTACAACTTTGAATTTTGTGTTGCCAGTTACCAAATTTCACCAATTATGTATTTCCAGCCTTAAAGAAATATTTCACTGCTGGAAAGATATGGTCTCATTCATGAAATGTTAGTAAATCTGTGAGCAGATTTGCACATAAAAAACCTTGGTACTAAAAACCTACACCAGAATCATGAACAATGCGGGAAACTCGCGCTCTCCCACTAGTCAGCAATTAGCATACATCCCAGCCCATAAATAGCCAGTGACCACCATATATGGAGATGATCATCACTACAGATAGGTGCATCCTGTTGACCTGCGAACATTGGGGCCAACAAAGAAAGAGAGAGAGGAAGAAAAACTGTGAGGTAAACAGTTGAACAGTTAAGTTATTATGGGTAAAGTGGGGTTGAGAAAAACCTTTTATTTTTTTCTGTTGGTAGTCCTCTTGTCCTCTGTTGTAAGACCCATCCAAGAAGTTATATGAAAATGGTTCGATATAAAACTTGATACAAAAAATGCACAAGTACACACACACAAAAACCTCAACAGCTACAGGAAGCTCTTCCCAGTCACAGCTGCAGATGAGTGCATTGCTTGCATCATCAGAGAGACATCTCTGTCAGGGGAGAGAGTGGCATGCCTCCACTGGAGCAGTCAGCACCAGACTCAGAACGCAAGGTGATGTACGTGTTATATTTAGTGTTAAATCACTGAGCATTCTGACAGCCATCACTGATAGCTTAGTGTTTGGTCAGTAACGTGGGTCTCACAGTCTCATTTTTTTGATCTGCTTCTATACTCTTTGAGCCTTTTTCCAAAACTGGACCCAACCCACTCTCACTCCAGTGCAGAGGGTAACTTCATTTTCAGCTGAATGAAGCACCATTCATCAAGGTAAAGGTTGTAAGTACAGCTGCAAGCTTTGGGACAAACTTCCCTGTCTGGTGTAAAGAGGAACTGTCATAACTTTGGAGCGTAATCCCAATTTATGTTCGTCATTTGTATTTGTCGAACTTTAATTTGATCTGCATGTGCTGCCATTGTTTGCCTCAATTTTGTAAATCATCCTTTTTTCATTAAAAGAAATAAATACATCCAAAAATAATTAAAGTAGCCCGGGCTATTATTTGCTTAAATCACGGAACTCAACAGGCTTGTATTTGAGACAGGCCTTTAATTCCTGTTACACAAACTATTGCTCAGCAAATATGATCAAACTGTTTGTGTGAACCGGTATGAATATTACTTGTATAAAATCAGGCTTTGAATAAGATATCAACTATGTGTTATTTTACGCCTCGCCACGCCCGAGGATAATGGCACTCAGCATACTGACATAACACCATTTTATCCTGTTAAATCAATATTCATAACTTGGATTAATTTTTATAAAAACACTTTTGATTCTTTTGATTAGTGGACTTTATGACAGCTTCACAGGAAGGGAGTCCCCACTTGTTTTTTCCTCATGTCAGTAAATCTGAATGAATCCTGGTCCTCTCTGGTGCTCATGGTTTCAGTAAAATTAAATGAACTGAGCTAACAACGTGTAGCATCTCCTTACTGACAAAAGTTTAAACATCTATATTTGTATGTGTGAGCTAAACAGCTAACTAACCTTAGCTTAAGTGGGTAGTCAACAATCTGGTTTTATACATCCAAAAATCTAATGAACTGCTTGGCATTACTTGGGACTAGGTTAGGGATGCACCGAAATGAAAATTTGTGGCCGAAGCCGAATAATATTAAACGCTTGGCCGAATACCGAGGACCGAATACTGAATGCCGTTGTTTAGTTTTTCATTAGTTTTTGCAGATGAACCCCCTCCAGATTAGTGTTGTCACGGTACCAAAATTGGGACCCACGGTATGATACCAGTGAAAGTATCACGGTTCTGAGTAGTATCACGATACCACAGCAAAAATGAGGCAGATGTGCCTTTTGTCATTTATAAAAAGATATAATCACTTTTCTATAATACATCAATGATATTTCAATGGAATAAATTACTTACTGACTTATTCATACTTCAAAAACAGCATCAATAAGTGATTAACATAGGGGGGATCAAAATAAAATAAATATCAACCAGCCACCCTCCTCCCCTGACAAGTCCCTTGATAAGTAAAGAACAGTCCCTAAAGTGCGGTGAGGTTTGTGGACACAAAGAGAGAAATGTGAACGGCTCGTTTCTCCTCTGATACGCCACATACTGTGTGCCACCATGGCTCGGCTGTTCAGGTACTTTTGGGCAGTCATGACAACAAGTTATTCACCCGGAGCCGGACTTCTCCGTCGCCAGTAAGCCGTTATCATGCGCCGCCGTATTTGACAGGAATACGTATTCCTGTCCGTGTCTGTGACCCCCGTTCAACCCACAACCAGCGGGATTCGCCGTTTTGTTTCTGCTGCTGGTTGAAATCTGTGCTCACACAGCATGCTGAATGATTTATTTTGCCCGCACAAAACTATTTTTAGCCGCCAATGCGAGTGCGGTGACGGATGGACGGAGTAAAATAAGTAAAAAATAAGCCGCTTTTTTTTTTTTTCAATAATTCCTGTAAATAACATTTTACAATCATATGAACGCGACTGTTTTTCAGAAACTAGACATGGGCATATTATATCCTAACCTTTAACACGTTAACATCTGTACGACAATATTAAATGTCTAACTTGGTTGGAACAGTTTACGTCTATAGAGGCAGTCACACTGAAATGTATTTGTACGGAGTGTCTTCCATGATGAACACAATACTGCATTGTATGAAGTCAGTGAGCTGGCACTGATCCAGGATTGCTGTTTGAAGGCTTTATAAGCAACTTCTACTCCCCACTTGTTGGTTTGGGATGGACCATTCGCATGAATGCTGAAGCAGAATAGAGGTGGGTAGGGAGAGGGTGTAGGGGTTGGTTTGGGAAAGGCCCTTTGTGTTCCTGGTCATAGTGGGCATACAAAAATGAGGAAGTGCAGTCTGTAGTTGGAGCAACAGCCTGAGAGCCAGTGAAAATCTGCATAAATGACACAAAACAACACAAATCATTTGGTGGACTTTTGCTAGAAGATGAGCAGAGAGATCTGAGCAGGCAAGATGGAGGGACGTTGAGCACAGTTCATTTACACATACTACCAACAATGTTATAATAGAGAGTTGGTTGAAAATCTGCACAGTATCCCTTTAAGGAGAGAACACAAACTGTATACCTTTTACCAGATGCTGGGAGAAAGGTGGAGTTGCAAGCTCATCAGTTAGCACGACTCAATTATGCAACATGTTCATGGATTATTCATCAACATTTGCAGATCATCAACATGTGGTAAACAAACATCATGCTAACACAGGAGGCCACCCGCCTTATCTGCTGACAAGCTTTCCAGAAAATGTGATATGCAAAACTCCCGCATTAGCAGGAAACTGGGGGGTGATCGGTTCTACCAGCTGCTTCTCTCCATGCTGGGAAACAGCTTGCTCTCCTGTTCCAATCCCACTTCCCCTCACTTCCTCCATCATTAATTGGTTGGAAAGTGAGTCAGCTGAGAGAAAAGAAATCAGTGCGTGTACCCACACGACACTATCAGCAAGGGCTCTGGTAGGATATGGGCATGAAAGCTGATGACAGCTCAGAAAACCCTCTGAATGTTCCTGTTTAATTATTGAAGGGGCTTCTGATGCCAACTGAATGTTCAGCTAGTGGAGAAAGTGCACAGCGCCTTGATGTATGATGATGACATGGAAGTGGTGGAGGCGAGAGGGGATTGATCCAGGCAGAGACGATGAACTGATGGGGGGAAGATGTGATCGGTGACATGGGGTAAGTGTGTGAGAAGAGATATCTGCTGCGTCAGGCAAAGGAAGTAAGAAGATTGAAGCCTCTAAAGTCATAATCTCTTCTCATGACTATGACCACTCATTTACTTGTCAAGTCGACAAATTGCAGAGAAACAAAGTGAGTTGGAGAACAGAGCCACCCCAAGGTCCATTCAAACAGTTAAGGACTCTGTAGGGTAATGTTTAAATTGCATTTCCTTGTCAAGTAAAAACAATCACATTTCAATTTCAAAAAAGTGCAAAAGTTCATAATCTTAATAAATAAATAACAGGATTTAAAAGAAAGACCCAAGGCTTTCACCTCTGCATCATGCAGCAAGAGGGGGCTATTAAAAAACATTTAATGCTTTCATCATCTGAGAAGCAAGTAAATTTTAATTAGCTGCTGACCTTGTTCACTTTGTTACAAATCAATAACATTTGACATTTAAAATCCTAATTAAAAGAGCTGGATTCCCAGTTAGGCTAATGTTAACACTTGTGAACTTGGGATGGATGTTCTCTGATTAAGCCGTCCCTGATGAGCTCTCTGCAAGAGAAAAAAATAATGTGGGCTCCATCTATGATAACTCATTAACTTCAGAAAGTACAGCATTTACATTGTGGTTCTTCTTTAAATGTCAAACTGTTGTTCCTCAATTTTTCAGACAAGACAGGTAGTCCTCCTGACTGTTTCCATGTATGCGTGACACTAGTGCCACATGGTGTATCGAGAACAAATTTGTGGGACTGATTGCAAACTATGAGGTAGGTGTATAACCAGATTATTTCAGTTCAGTGTCACTCAGCAAAAGCAAGTAGCAGAGCTGCTTTACCAGGAATTATAGCCTGCCCAAGTCACGTCTCATGCTAAATGGAGAAAAGTTCAAGTCCACTTTTAAGTCAGTCAGTATAATTTCAAGTCAAGTTGCAAGTTGATAAATGAAAATTCAAAGGTGCTATATTTAACTATAGAGAAAGATTCATCGTTGAGTCTCCTTCCCAGGTGATCAAATACAGATGCTTTGGGTTGGTAGTTGGATCAAACCGACTACCGACGAAAGAGACTCAACAATCAACTATCTTTCTTCAGAGTTACATACAGCACCTTTAAATCAAGTCTCAAGTCAGCTATAATCAGGAGAAGTCAAATCTGAATCTAAGTAAAACAAATTCAGATTGAGTGTCAAATTAATCAAGACAAGTCCAAGTCAAGTCAATCAAGACAAGTCCAAGTCAAGTCAATCAAGACAAGTCTGAGTCAAATCAATTGAGACAACTCAGAATCAAATCTTAAATCAAGTAAGACAAGTCAGAGTCAAGCCTCAGTGGAAGTAAAACAAGTCAGATCAGTTCAGATCAGCATCAGCTGAGACGAGCCCAAGTCAAGTATCATGCACCTTTGTGGAAGGGTGTAGAATAGGCAAAGAAAGAACCCATTACATTTAGGAGCAGGTCCAAATCATTAGGGCATTTGGCCTCGGTGGAGGTGCTCTTTGAGAGCCCTTCTAGTTGTTACTGGGTTATATAAGATCAAAACTTGCGAATTGAATGTTTTTGCTTTTAGGCTCCAAGTCAGATCTTGAGGCAGTGAAAGCTTGAGTCCTCATTTTGGTCAATCAAGTCTGACTAGGAACATCTTAAGCCTTAAACCTGCAGCTCTTACAATTAACGGACCAGTAAAGATGATGCAGACAGTCTTGGGCAGATGTAGTGCTCAATTTAATTGTATCTTTGTGTGTTTCAGTCACCTGCTCTTGAATTACAGAATACTAAAAATCTGTTTGTTCCCACACGTTGGCTGTCAGAGTGGTATTTTTTTTAAACATGACACCAGTGTTTGCTTGATTGACTTCAGGTCTGCAGGTACAGAGGAAATACTATGACAGAAGTGCATCTTGGTGCCATGCAGGCAGCACAGTGCATTAGCTGGTAGAAAAGAACTCTATTGTTTTATACTGTAAATCAAGTCCTGTTGTTTTTTATTGCAGTCCAGTGGGGAGTCTCAATGCAGAGATGCTGCTCTTCTGAAGGTAAGTGAGAGGACAATTGGTGTTGGTGGTGGGAAACTCATACCTCTTTGCCTCAGGGTTAGGCTGGGTGGTGGACTATAGTGGTTATTATGGCTCCTTAAGTTACGGCAGCCTCTTTGCTCTGCTCTGCTCTGCCAAGCCTGGGGGAGTCATTGGCCATAATTGCATTTGCACAAAAGTAATGGCCTTTTGGAGGAAGGAAATGCCAGTGGGAGAGTGAGGCGTGTGTGCTGGAAACTGTTCTTTTTCACTGCATAACCGTGTGTTGAAAAAGAACTGCCACACTGATACTGAGACCAAAAGTTAATTATTACAACTCAGTTATGTTACTCATCTTCAAAATTACTTAGAATGAGCTCAGCCGTGAAAAAGCTTAAAATCTTGGTTCCTCAATATTTTATGCAACCAGTAAAAGAGCAAAACATCCCGATAAATTGAGTGCTGTTTTAAGAATAGAACAGGTTATAAAAAAACTGCATTTTATGTATGTGTGTGTGCATTGTATGGTTGGCTGAAAGGTTATTTCATTTACGTGGAGTATTTTATATATGTGTTTTATATATCTTTTGAATCATGTTTTCTATGTTTTACTGTAAGACATACTACCTTACACCTGACTCAAAGTGGCCACAGTGCATCGGTCATTTCCAGTGTCAGACCGACTCAGTTATTATTTTCAGGGCTAGCAGCCATGTTGTGTAAGTCCCAAATGTATCTGCCCCCATCTTTGCGCCCAAGGGTGTGAAGGTCTTTAAATAAGGTGTGGTCAGTTGCATTGTTGGTTGTTTTAAGGCACCAGAAATGACAAAAACCTGCTCTAAAATCAGAATGGCACAGTAATTTTGTTGCTATTGCAAGGGTGTATTCAGATAGTAAGATGCACCTAAATAGGCAAGTACACTGAGTCCTAACAGAAAGTACCACAACTCGTTACAGCGCGTGCGCTCTGTCCACACAATTTGCATCACTGTTATGTCGTGTACACAAAACAACCAGCTTTGGTTACTTCCTTATTGTTCATATTCATAACAACACTATTGTGGATATTGTTGCTATCATATTATATCATACTACTACCTACACTTTGTTAAACAAGCTCTGCTGAGCATCCCACACAATACTTAGCAGATAACTCCTCAATTCAACCTTGTGGATCAGCTGTTCCTCGTCCACTGCAGCACTTGCAAAGCGAGTGACAGGAATAAAATAGAAAAGGGGTGTCAGACAAAAGTTCAGCTCAAAACAGCGCCACATTCCGCCGTGTCACTCTGTGTCCGATTGCGTCACTCTGGCCACTTAAAACATTCTAATAAAAAGCAATGCAATCAAACTGATTCGGTTATTGTTGCTCGCTTACAGTTAAACCATGGTGTTATGGTGGGTAAAAAAAAATCCATCTTTATGAGGAAAAACATTAATGACATTCTCTAAAATGTGAACATTGCAGAGAGCAGAGCCACAGAGCTGCTGTCTGACACCCCATTAAGAGATGTCGTGCACATTTACACATGAGGATCAGCGTAACTTCACTAATTATTTCAGAAGTTAAAAGTTCTGTTTCCTCTGTCAAGCACAAATTTCAGTTTTGCTGCTTAAATGTCCCACGATATTTGCTGCAGCAACATCACTGCTCTTGCTGCCTTACTCTCAGTAGAAAATCACTCGCTTCTCAAATTTGTGGAACCTGCCATATAAATAGCAAGGTGTACCTGGTGCTTTTAAAGGCAATGGGAGATGACAATCTGAGAATTCATGTTACACCTCAAACACACCTATGAGAAATGAAGGAATTAAATACGGCATCATTTTTGGGCCTGAGCCTGATTAAAACCCCAAATTTCTACTGTAAAAAATATATATCTTAGATTTTATATATTATCTTAATATTAAAACATTTAGTAAAAGCTCAGGGCTAATGTGTGCCCATGCACCACTTTTTCCTTGTTTTGATAGTCTGTTGTCTCGTGCAAGACTCGAGCCTCTCAAGCATCGGGCACGCATGGCAGTCCATGGCACTGTGGTGTGCAGTGATGATCACGACCACTCTTCATTGCATACTACGGACATCTCTCACAACACTGGGGAGAAGCTCCTTTTTCTTTCTGTCAATTCCAGTTCCTCTGTCTTGCATGCTCTTTCTCTCTCTCAGCTGGTTCTCCACTATACTGCTGCGTTGTTCCATCACTCTCCTCTATCAGTCACAGTCACCCTCTCCTTTTCTCTCTTTCCCTCTTGATTCAGTCCATTTAATGTCCTGCATTCTAAGCACCAGAACTGCCAGTTTCAATAAAAACAAACAAATAAATAAAAAATACACAGGTAAATTGGCAAGAATCCAACCATATTCAAGCCTGGAGAAATAATGACAAAGTGTGGCCCAGCAGATCTGGTTGGGCTGGGCTGTAATTTCTTGGGCAGAAAATCAGAGCTTAAAATACAACCCCTTTGCCACTTGTGCCTTACTTCATGCACAGATAATACAACTTTTAACTAGCAAAAGTTGGACACACTCCAACTGCCCTTGTGCCATGCATTTCAGACTATGCTCTATAGATCATTTAATGAAGGTCCACAGAGTGCAACATGCACAGATAACATTTACTTGACTCGACAATGGTTCTGACAATGAGCCCAGCCTTCAACGTTTGTGTATGATGATGAAATATTATCTCAAGAAACAAGCACAACATACCTTGTATGCGATGCTGTTGAGGACTTTCATGGCCAGATCTGACACTTCAGGAAAAGGGTCTGCAGCGAGATGGAGCAACACTCTCCAGATCTGAGTGTAAACACTGTTGAAGGACACACCTGGAAATAAGGCACAAAGCAATTAAATAATAAGTTCAACATGTTAGAATAAAAAATTGTTTCTGTAGGAAAAGTTTCAGACAATACACAGAAATCATACACATATTTGGTAGATGAAAACACACACACAACACACCCACTGGCACATACTGTACATCTCACTCATCACTCCCATCCAAGTTCATTAACACAGCACAGCTAACAGCTAAGTGGTAATACACAATTATCTCATTAGCATCATGCTACCCGCCCCGGTCATTTACATCGCCTGCAGTTGTTGGATGTATTGAGATGGCAGAGGGAAAATGACCTCCAGTGTCAGGTAATGTACATCATTAATCAACACACACACACACACACACACACACACTACAGGCAGCTGGCATTCCTCATCCACTGGAGCTTCATTGCTGTCAACTGTCGCTCTTATCATGAATACAAATGAACAATGTCTCTCTATTGTTCTGTGGTTTTGTTCATCCGTTGCAATTCTAATCTTCAGCATTGTTTTTGCAGTAACTGGTGACAATATTTTTAATTTTTCTTCAGTTTATCATTTTTAAACTGATGATTTTAAACCAACCTCCAACTGCTTGTTTGCTCCTTTACTGTCTTCTCCAGCTCTCTCCTGTCATTCTCTCCAGAGTTGCTCCCTGACATCAGTTTGTTTAGAGCTTCCACCTGCCAGTCATGCATCTCTTTGTGCTCGCAACAGTCTCCCCTCTTTTCTACACACCCTCCCTAATTCTGGGCTTTTACTCACTTCTGCATGTTGTCTCTGCAGTGCACTGAGCCTCCTTCCCTGTTGCTGTGCCTTTTCTGCTTGGTCTCCCTCTAAATGTCCCTTTGTCAGCTTCAATCTGTCGACTTTCTCTTCTCTCTCAATGTCAGCCACAGGGACACGGAGCAGTAATAGTCTCCAACTGTTGCCATTTCTCATTTCACCAACACTTATCTGTTTTCTCCCCTCTTTCCTTTTTCTCCCCAGACCTTTCCAACCATGCAGGTGGTTGTGTAAACTTGACTTGTGAGGATGACCCCTCTTATTTCGTTTCCTTTTATCATCTCCCTGCTTCCCTTCGGCACACTGGCCGAGCCCTGGAGCTGGAAACTCCTCAGTGTGCTGTGGAGAAGTGGGAATGACTGAAGCCTGGGCCCTCCTATAGCTCGGACTCTCTAGAGAGTGCTAAGAAGGATCAATGACCCAAGCTTCAAAGACAGGTGAGATAGGAGAGATGATTCCAAGAAAGGAGAGAAGGATGATGGAGGGCTACAGCTGGGGGAGACAGAAGGATACAATAAGCACAAAGAGGAATCTGTAAAAAGTGAGGAGTACAGAGCCCAGGATAAGATATATCAGTAGCAAAAAGGCAAAGGGAGATGGAGGAAAAAGACAGTTGAGAAAAAAATCAGGAAAAGATACGAAAAGACAGAGAGGCCTCGAGTGACTTAAGGAGAGAAAGCAAGTGATGAAGTTAAAGAGGTGATTAGGCTGTAGCCTGAGGGGCAGGATATGATTAGCGATGGTTAGCCAGTGCGCTACCTGCTGCAGTAAACAGCCAGTTGATAAATGTGAGATACGGTTCCTCTCCTATTTAGCCGCTGCTCTACATTACGGGTGCACACAAATTACCACTGCAGTGCCTCTACATAGTCCACACTGGGGAACGTGACGGGTGACATTACTCACTGGCTCGATGCTGTACCAGTGACTTGTCCTGACTTGACACAAGACTTGTGCACAGTGAAATGGATGTACAGTAGTAAAGATGTTAATTATCGTCTAAATGAAGCACCACATCACTGTTTTATGGCCTCCTCAGTTCTGGCAGATGACATAAAATACTTTTAACACTGCATAGCGGTTTTTGGAGCTGTAAATGGTCGGGGCATAAAAATTGCATCAGAACATTTGGAAGCAGAGAAGAAATTCCTCTGTGAGGCACATTTGAAATTTATTTCACAGGGAGATGTAAGCAGCACTAAATCATGTCTCTGATGTTCTTTAAATGGGTGAGCTCTTGAAAAACACTGACACAGGTAGAAGTGGATCAAATCTTTGATGTGACAAAATATTAATGTCAGTGCAGATACAGAAAGGCACAGTTTTAACCTAAAGCTAGGCATCTGATAGCACTATAAAGGAGGGGTGACTGATAACTGATACAGCATAGTATCGCGATATTTTGTGTGGGGATATTGTATCGATACACAGATGCCTACATAGTACCTATCTTTTATTATATACGTTATTAATTTTTGAAAATACAAATTTCCATACCACTTTCGGTACTAGAATAATAAAATCAGTTGGTTTTTTTTTGGTCCACTAGATGGCACTGATGTTTTTTTCCTGATGAGGTCAGCAGAGGACTCAGGCTGTTTATCAAAATAAAGAAATCAGAAATGCGCCATCAGCGTTTAAATCAAACGCCTGGACTAATTTTGGATTTTTTTTAACATGGAAGGATAGTAGGACTTGGATATGACACATGCGATTTGCAAGCAGTGTCATATGAGAGTAAAATACTCAAACTCGAATAATACTACAAACATGTGGACTCACCTCACACTCCACCATCCAGAGCTAGTGTTAGCTGCTGACAGCCAAGCTAATGCTAGACCTGCTCTGCCAAAAAATCAACCAACACTGGACACTCGACAAAACTACCATCCAACTCTGAGTGAACTAAGAAAATAACACAGTCCATCACCTACTTCATGTGCAAAGTTCTGCATCCATACAGCGCTGTTAAAAAGGCTTTTGTTACATTTGTTACATCAAATTGATTTTTTTGCTGCTCTGATCACTAAATAAATATCTTCACCACTGGACAAGTCACAGCAAAACATTCTAGACTGATAATAATAAGTATTTTTGGTTCTGGGGAGAACCAACCCTTCAAAAACTAAAACTAGAAAAGCCACCACAAAATGCAACACAACAGATGTTTCTCTTCACAGACAACGCAGTTACCGCTGGAGGTTTTCGGAGCTCTCTGTATTTAGGGAGCAGAGCTATTTGTAGTTTGCTTTAAAACAAATACCTGTGATTGGTCAGATAGAATCAATCCCATTCTGGCCTAAACACACCCTCTCTGTCTTCTCTTCCTCTGTTTGAGTGTTTGCTTTATGAAGTCCCAATAAACCAGAATGTGGTAGTGGAGTCCAAAAATCCAACAGTGACTCGACACTGGTGCAACTTACCAAACTGCACTTACCCTAAACACAATCTCACATGGAAGAGAATAGACAAAATGTAACTTCTGTCAGGGTGCTTAGCCACAGATTACATTTTTCTTACAATGATTTTTCACTGTGGATTGAAGTGAAATCACAGATACGTGAAGTGAAAATAGGAAAGCGAAGACATTACTTTGTCAAAAAATATTTAGCTAGTTCCCCTTATCTTACAGTATTTGCATGCACCAATTAAAACAGAGAACTTAGAGCAAGTGCTCATTGTTCTGGATGTGTAATACATCTACAGGAAAACCACATAACACAATGTAACAGCTCGGGGAGCTATCTATCTGTATCCATGGTGACGGATGTTTCCTGCTCATGGATGAGAGCAGTGCGTGTGTCCCTGTTACAGTTTCCTGGGCTGGTCTCAACAGGCCTACAGTTCAGTACCATGGACAGCTCCCAGTCCCTACTGGGGATCAGGCAGGCTCAGTGAAGTCTGCTCGTTCACTGGAGGACTGACTGAGCTGAGCTCAGCAAGAATGTCAGCTTCCTGAATCTGCACCATACTTGTGCGGAAAACTGGGACAGACTTTATAAAAATATTATTAAGTGCCACTGAATTTATCACTGGGGCAAATATCGGTGGGGCCACAGCGAGGCAGCCATAAGAAGAAAGATTAGAAGCGAGTCTGAGCTGCAACTATAAAACCTGTGGCCAATATCAATGAGGAGCTTGATAAAGCATAACCCAGCGTTAGGTTATTAGAGGAATATTGGGAGAGATGCTTCATAAACAACGTACTCTACAGGGCTGTGATAGAAAGATTGCAGTGATTCAGTCATGCTTAAATCAGAGTCAGAGCAATTTGAAGCCTGCGATTAAACTGCTTAAATTAGAAAGTGAAAATTTCTCAGGAGACATTAGCCAATTTAAAAGGTTTTTGGAGTCTGAGGCAGTAATCAACAAAAAACTTAATTCAAGTAAAGCTGACACGTTTTACTACTTAAAAGCCATTCTAATGGGTAAAAACATTGCTGCTGAGTTTTTCAAATGTATTTCTTTGGTGCTTTGAGCACCACAAGCCGAGTGCCATCTAGTTCCATTATATTGGAGAAAAGGCCGACATCTGACACTCCCAGCAACTCGTGCCAAAAAAATCCAGATTGAGAAACAGCACAACAGGTAAGAGGAGAAGTATGTATAAATAATCTTAATGGTCCCTTTAAAGCTGTTTGCCCTTTAGAGCCCTTTAAATGTACCACAAAATGCAAATACATGTTTCGATTCCACCTGCTCAGTGCTGGTACATACCAGCTCCCGTAGCAGCTCCTTTTCTCTGCTCCTATGGCAACTCATCTCCTCTCCTCACCATTGATGCAAACAGAACTCTGTTGTGTGATGAAGAATGGACGAGGAGAGACTTCTTGAGGTTGAGAAATATCCTGAGCTAAACGACTCACAGTCCCTACATTATAAAGACAACAGTCAAAAACATATTGCCTGGCGAGTCAGAGATCCAGAGATCAGCTTTTGTTAAGGTCTGTCCACACATGATTTTAAGCTAATGCAGAGGTGGAGGAGGTACAGAGTTTGTGAACAGGAAGTGGGCGCCCATACTGTCTCCTGTATTGTGTATACGAAGGCTAAAAAAACTGATCAAATGGTAAGACCAAACAGTGCTGATCTAATATGAATGAAGATTCCTCAAATGTTTTCAGAAACATATTTTAGTACACTGTTTAATTGTAATATGAGATCATTGGTTACCAGCTGACTGTCATATTGTTTCCGGACAGGAAGCTTGCATTAT